GCCTCTGCTGCCTCCTCCTGCTGCCTCATGCCTCTGCTGCCTCATGCTGCCTCATGCCTCCTGCTGCCTCATGCCTCTGCTGCTTCCTGCTGCCTCATGCCTCTGCTGCCTCATGCCTCCTGCTGCCTCATGCCTCATGCCTCCTGCTGCCTCATGCCTCCTGCTGCCTCATGCCTCTGCTGCCTCTTGGCTCTGTGGCCTGCTCAGCCAGGCTGGGACACTCCAGCCTAACCAGGGGGTTCAACAACACACTCCAGATGTGTTGGGGGGGGGGGTCAACCTCCAGATGCAATGCTCACCTTTGGAATATTGTGCACCACAAGCTCCTTTAACAGGAGACGCCTGAAAGGCAAAAAGGAGACAGATCAGCTCATCACCTGCTGTCACAGTTTGTGCTCACATCTCAGCAGGGTTTTTACTCTGCTCAGTGGGGTACTTTTGCCACCTGCAGCAGCACTGAACGTGATTGAACGTGTCAACAAAGTGTTCTTTATCTTTGCAGAAAGAAAGTTGGTGTATATTTCACAGAGTGAATTAAGAAATATCCAGTAGCATCAACTGTTGTGTTTAGTTTTGTTAGGATCCCCATTAGCTGCCAAATAAATGGCCACTAGTCTTCCTGGGGTCCTCACATGAAGAAATTACATTACATTATGAACAAACCATTAAAAATCACATTAAGAAAGCCAGTCATCAAAGAGGTATTTTAATATAATATTTCAGCAGAGCGAGATGCGTTTGATTTACTCCTCATAACAAAGTTAGAACCTGCAGGTTACATATGCACCTGAACCTTCTAAATACATCTTGTAACCATCCTCCCCAGGTTTAAGCTGATCCCTGGAGATCCGGGAGCCGAGTCCCCCCCCTTCTAGAAAGCAGACTGGCTCTTATCGCTTATGCAGAAAATGCTGTAGTGTTCATTTTAGTCAGCTTTTTATAAGTGCCCCCAACAACAGTAATAATCTTTCATAACATTAGCTGCTCGATTGGAAAAAGGGAGACATTTGTGCCCGTTGTTCTTTATGCAGACGGGGATGGTGGTGGGCTGCTCTGAGGCGGGTTCAGGCCTGAAATGTGGGAGGCCACGGTTCTGTTGTCAGATGTGTTACCTCTGCTGGTGGGACGGCTGAAGCGAGCAGTGCAGCTGACTCCTGCTCCGACTCAGTCAAGGACACAGCCTGAAGGAATCAGAGACACAGCCCAGACTATTAGAGCTGTAGTTTCACCATGGCTCCAACACATCAGAGAACACATCAGAGAAAAGCTGCAGACGAGCTACCAACCTGAGCACATCTTACTAAAGTGCTGTTCTCTTTTTCTTCCAATTTGTTCCATTCTCCTCATCTCTCCCCTGAGTAAATCCTTCATCCAAAAACAACTCCAGAGTTTTGTTTGAAATAAAAAGTGCTTCCATCAGGCTTTACTGACACACTAACTCAGGGGTCAGCAACATTTTTGAACCTCCAAACATTTTGGATACCAATGAATGCAACTAGCTCAACGAACACTTCTGAAATAACCTCTCAACTTCCCTTTAATTATAGGTTAGTATTAATGATATTCATCACCGTGAAGACACTGATCACGTTAATGATTTCTCTAAATATCAATGGATTAGCAAGGTAGGAAACAAGGAAATATCAAAGCAACTTTCTAGAAATGACTGCAGCATTTTCCAATGATCACTTGTACTAAAACATTTGCACTAGCCGCGATAATGTTCAGAACGTCCTGTACTAGGTTGTGTTGTAAGCTGGGCTCTACCTTGACACTGCCACTCAGAGTGAGTGTTGCAGATGTCAGTGAGGCGAGTTTTGAAGCTAAAGGCTGCTTCACAAAGACAGAACCACCCAACTAGGCTGGCAGCCTCCAGAGATGGACTTCCATCTCCAGCTGCCCAGCATCCAAACTGAACACTGGACTCAGTTGCTCAGCAATGAATGTTGTGCCAACGTTCATGAAAGGACTGGAAATTAACCACATGCATGGCTCCAGCTGCTCTCAAACTATTGCCTTAGTCTTTTGAGTACTTTTCTGAAGCTTTGGCAAAGGCCTCAGGTGCAGAAGCATCCTCGGTGCAGCACCTTTAAATCCGGCAGTGCACAGAGAAAACCTTCATCTGGACACTGAATGTATTCAAAGCACTTTTGTCAGCAACTCTAAAAACAACCAAACAAAAAAACAATCCAAGTCATTAGCCACTTCAGTCAGACTGCCAAACACCTCATGGTCCTTTGTTAAATACTAGGCGTCATCATTCAGGATGGTCCATGTGAGCTTGGTATCAGCTTACTGGGAGCATTTTATCATGAAAGCTTTTTTCTCGCATTAATATGTCTGTCATATCTCTGTTCTACTTTTGAGAACGCCTATAATGTTTTTTTTATACAGGCATTTTGTAAACAAACAGAACTATATTTACATGTACCTGTTGGACAGTGTTCATCGTGGAGGGACAAATGAGAGCTTAGAAATTAGTTGGATGCAGCATTTACCTCATCTGTGTAAACCTAAACCTTCCACTCTCGTTTCAAAATGCCATTTCTGAAGGCATTCATTGCTTTTCCCGTCCTTGCCTCTGTACCAGCACTTTGTTTCCTTTCACTGAAGTTAATTAAATGTTGCAAATACTGGCAAAAGAGCCCTTCTAACTAGACCACTATCTATCCCACTCCCACTGGAATTTGTCAAAATGTTGTGAGTTAATGTTGTACCATCTGTGTTTACTCTGCAAGCCCCCCCACCACCACCGCCGTTAGCTCTGCTGGGGACATTTAAATCGTAACCATCCATGTGTTTTAATTGTAGAGCGAGCATCTAAAATTAAAATGGAACATCCACTCTTTGTTCAAGCCAATCACAGCTTTGCTCCTACATCTACTAAATACATTAGGCCCATACGGTTTCTGTGGAGATTCATCTCTGATCACCTCAGAAACAAAGGGCAGAGAATGGTTGTACCTCTGCCAGCTTTTCAGTGCTCGTTGACATCTTGTTTTAAATGAAAGAAAACAGTAGCTGAGATGGGAGCAAACTCTGGGCGGGACCAACATTGGTGTACCATCCAGACACCTACAGTTCCTTAATCAAACAGTCCAATAATCAAGTTCTCCAAACAAAATCCAAATGAGAATAAAGAAAATAATATCCTACAAAGAGAAACTGTTGCATTTAAACTGCAAAGCTCTGAGTTTGGGTGATTTCAGACAAAGTCCAGTAGGCCTCAGGGCAGAGAAAACTCACCAGCAGCCTTCATGCCAAACAGGCAGCCAACAAATATCTAAGTAGATTAATGTGTTCATTTAATCGTGTAGATGCTTTAGAAAATCTGGAGATAATGGAAATGTGACAGAATCTTCTTCTTTATTGATTCTATCAGAGAGCATAGGTCTGTTGTTGGATGGATCCATCTTTGAGGGGTCGAGTTTTATTTCCTTTAAAAAGAGGGTTATTTCATATTTAGATATATTTAGATCAATTGTCTTAACAAAGGGACAGAGTTGGTGTTTCTCACTCATTCAGTCTAAATGGGTTGGAGAGTGTCATACTAAAGTCATACCCATCCAAGCAGGTCTATGAATTCATAAGATTTCCGTCTCATCTCTAACAGTTGAGTTGAATAAGTTGGGCAAAATGAAGAGGGCTGATGGGACATTCCCTCCTCTGTAGTTGATATGGGTCTGAAAAGAGACCCATCTATCTGATATGGGTGGTTGAAGAAGGGCATGCTGTTTATACACAGTATAATGCACAACCATAAACTCCAGCCAAAAGCCTTTTCTGCATCATGACTTATCTCTGTGGTTTACTCACCATCTAGGAGGAGCAGCGCACGTTTCCTGAGGTGTTTTTCTGTCTTAAAGTAAACCCGTCTGCTCAATCAATCAAAGCATAAGCCAATTACTTCTTCTGCTTCTGGTAAAGACAAACCAAAAATCCACAGTATGCAACACCAAGACGGTTTTGCTTTGAGTGGATCCTATGTGGCCTGGCCCTGGAGGCGCTCCCTTCAGAATGGGGATGAATTGATTTGAAATGACTTGTATCAATCAGCAGGAAACCCCTCTTCCCTAAAGGCTTGGTTTGTTATCGTTATTTCACCAGTTACCATTTTGTCAGGAGGTCAAAAGCACGGCGGAGCTTCGATAACCGGGTTCAAAGCTGCTTTTGGCGTGGTTTTCAGAGCACAGGCTCGCTGTCCATCGCTCTGCACGCAGCTTTTGTCTTGGGATCTTTAAGCTGAAAAACGGATGGCTCTCCTTCGTGTGTCTACATGGAAGCACTTTCTCAGCCCGGGGTTAAGACTCATAACTTAGTATCATGAATTTGAGTTAAAATTGTTTACATTTCCACAAGCTCCAGTGGTTTTTATCTGAATTCATTTGATGTATTAAGTGAAGGGACAGAAATTCTTTCTTGCTTTTTTTCCTTGGAACTTCAGTTTATTGCAAGTTTTCTCATCTTACTTCTGCATTTTTCTTTGCCCTGATTTTGTACATTGAATATATGACAAAATTATCCTAATTGTTTAATTCCAAATAGGTTTTCATTAATTTCCTTACATTTTACACATGTATGGTACGGCCATTTTCTAGAGTTGTACAAAGATTCTTAGATGTGCTCTTGGATTTACTACTAAATGGAATTTCAGGCTTTCCCAAGTAGAAGACACCTTCAAATATTAAGTGGTACCCTTAACCAATCCTGGTGGCATCTAGACATCAAGCATGGGAACAAGGTTGCAACATTTTTTACTCTTTCACTAAAGTTCCCTCATCACGTTTTAAGTAGCATGGCTTTTGGCATGCGGTGAGTAGGTGTTTCTGACCCTACACTCTTACGGTTCTACTGATCATCTAGCACAAGGTTTGTTTCTTGTAAGAAAATGATCACCTGTTGTCATGACAGCCACCTTTCTTAATTGGACTCAGTAACCTGTTGAACGAGCAGCAAGCATATATACATATACGGCCGAGAGAACTGCACACGTGGTGCTGAAAGCTCACAGACAACATGACACTGAATGTTATCCAGCTCTGGTACAACAGCTTCAGCCCCAGAGGAGCACTAAACATGAAGAGAAAGCTATAAAACCAGTGGGACTGGACCTTAGTGTTTGGCCGTACAACAACAATATTGTAAGGGTACATATCCATATCCTTATGTCAGTGAATGGTCCAATTCTCTGGCCTTAAAGCTAACTCAGTTCTTTATGTGTTCAGATAAGAAAATGTTTTACTATGGTTGCTACCTGAAAATCAGAACTCTGATGGCAGAGACTGATCAGATCCATGACGGTATTGAGATTGTTCCTGATGGAGTCCATGGACTCTCTCTGTGCGCGGGCCGTCTCCCTCACATCACCCCACAGAGCACAGTGCTTGGCCTTGATTTTCTTCAGAGTTTCTAGCATCACTGCCATGTTCTCCTGCAAGAAAAATGTCAATTATCAGCCTACATTAAGGCATTCAGACCGAGTTACCTACTATGCTTTTGTGAGTTTTGTTTCCAAATCCATTACTTTAACATATATCCACTGTTAAAAGCCAACTATGGCATACCTCTAATTCAATGGAAGTTCTATCAAGATGTTAGGTTTTATGCTGCCAGTGTAAGAAATGTGGCCATGTTCTACATCATCCAATGAATTTGATTTAAAACTGACGTTCTTTTCCTCATTGCACTAGCATAAAAGATTAGATGTGTAGTAAGGTCATGAAACAGGTTAACTCCATCGTTCATTGAACTCTTTGCACTGTAGACAGAGCCAGACTGCTCCTCCTAAGAGACTGAAGCCACAGTAAAGCATCATTCATCTGGGATGTCTTTGCAGAACTCAAATGTAACTGTCCATTTCATGAAAAATTGAATTTCTGTGGATATGAATGCATCTGCAAAATATATCAGAGTAAGCGTGTTTGATTTTGTGCAGGAAAAAAAGAAAACCAGCCCATAATTTCCTCATATGCAATGAATTAAAGGTTTTACACACATTGTTTCTATACTCCATTAACTCTTTGATTTGCTTGCTTTGCCTAAATTTAGCCAAGGCATTTATTGTGCTACTGTTGCACATTTAACTACATATTTAATTCCTATTTGGTAAATAATCCGATTGCTTTCCTTTGTATGCATCTTTCTGGTCTGTCAATAAGTAACAGTGGCTCAAAGTTGCTGTAGTATTATGGTGAGTAAGACTGTGCAATTTGTAAGGTAAAAATTAATGAAAGCCAATAGGAGCCTTCTATTCTCTGTGATTATCATGATTGGCAATCGCATTACATGCATACAGGTATCTGATTAATATGTCATTTGCTGTATTTTTTTGTTTAAAAGCTTCAATAACGTATCCATCTGCACCCATTGCCTGGCTGCTGTGTGTGTCCCTAACGTGCAACTGTCTCAGAGCAAACTGTGGGACATTCAGAACAGAGCAGTATTTCATGGCACCTGAAGTCACCTGGCAGTTCTCCTGGTGAAACATAGCTCCTGGCCAGGCCTTGGCTATCAGCCAACACATTTCTGACAATGGACTTAAGGATGAACAGTGTTTTTGTTAAGTTTGTGGCTGTAAGTGTCATCACCTCAGCAGAGTATCCATTCTCTGCAGTGCTGTTGATGAAGTCTAACCTCAGCCGCCTCTCAGTGTATTCCAGGTCTGCTTCTGACTTCAGGAACTGTAAAGAAACTCCACGTTAACTCTAAACAGCCAACCTGCACTTCCCTTTGCAAATAAATGAGGCTAGTTTCTTGAATAAGGACATTACTTTCACAGTACCAGCTACAGCAACAAATTATCTTTTGAGGTCAAAAATTAAATTCCATCAACTGTGTATTACTGAAGATGGAACCGCCCGGTAGTGCGGTACACGCTCAGCTGGACGTTTTCAGGACAAAGAGATGCAGGGCTGCTTGTCCAAAACCCTTCCTGTGGGTTACACTGGGATACATGTTCCTTTGAGCTCATCAAAACACAGCGCTCAGTCTCTGCAGTTTTCAAATGCTTTGACAATACTATTGCACTACTAACCATGTGCCACAGTAGTGCAAAGAAGTCAGAGCACCTGCCAACAGCCGACGCCCCGCAGCTCCCCGGCAGAGAGCCCACAGACAGCCATGGCTGGGCCCCCGGCTCCTCGGCCCCGCCCCCCCGCGCCGGCTGGGCCCCGGCTCCTCGGCCCCGCCCCCCCGCGGCGGCTGGGCCCCGGCTCCTCGGCCCCGCCCCCCCGCGGCGGCTGGGCCCCGCCCCGGCAGCTGCACATGGCCCAGAGACCGGCCATGAGGGCAGGACTCCTGCCCTGAGGACACCTCCCCAGAGGTTTTTGTCCGGTGGTGTGTGGTATCACAGGGCATAAGAACGAGCTTCAGTACTGTTTAGGAGTCAAACATACTGCTGTCAGACAGCACAGGGCCGACAGCCTGTGTGACAGAACCACTGTGTTGAGGTTAAAGCTGACACTCACACCAGGACCACCACTAACCCCAACCACTCCAGGCCTCTCTGGGCCGCTGTCCGGCAGTTTTTAGAGGTGTCCCTGTTTCAACACACCTGATTCACATCAAAGAGCCGTTAGTAGGCCGGCGCAAAGCCCAACAAGGTCCAGAGGAGATCCAATTAAATCAGAACCAGGTGCTCAAGCAGGAACAGTCTAGAACCTGCAGGACAGCGGCCCAGAGGCCGGAGTCTGACAGCCCTGCTCCACACCCCCGGCACCCATTCAGACAGCTGCGCCCCCCCATAGTATTCTGCCCCCAGAGGCCCGGGTGATCCATTACATCCAACCATACCATAATGGCAAGGGTCACACGTTGCTAGGCAACAGGCCTCTATAGGGAGAGGAGTTGTTGTGTGAACACACACATCTCAGAAGATCCCAGTGAGGACCTCCCACCACAGGAGAGCCACCCAGGACCACAGCTGGAGGGCAGAATGCTATGGGGGGGCGCAGCTGTCTGAATGGGTGCCCCAGAACCACAGGATGCACACCCTCTGTGCCATGCCACTGTTTGCTGGTGAATTGTGTGGACTTCCTGTTCTACAAAACACACCAGGTCTTTGTTTTGAGCCGTGAGTGACCAGACACTCAGGGAAACTGCTGCTGTTCTATTGTTCACAGGTATGAGCTTGAAATGGGATCCTTGCCTCCAAGCTGTGTACCTGGAGCATACATGTCAAAAGTCAACTTTCCTCATGTTAATGTTTAACACTTTTCTCCAAAAAACTGCTGCAGAATATGTGACCTTCTGGATGCAAACAATTTGCTGCTGACTAAATATGGCAAATATGGGTCATGCTAATATAACTGAACGCTCTACATCATCCACAGCAGAGCTTGAAGAAGGCTAGCTGAACTCACCCGTTTCTGAAAGACCAATTAAGGGTAGAAACCAGCTCTGAAATAATGACATTAGTTCATTCATTCATTTCTTAAGTTAACTTTACAACTACGTCAGTTTTAGTATACTGGGCTAACCAAGAGGCAAAATCCCTTCCACCAATCGGCCGAGTAAGAGGAGCTTAAGACTCTATCGCCTGTTTGGAAGAAACAGAGATACTGCGCTTAGGCACAGTATGCATTCAAGTTTTTTTGTTACAGTTTCTGCCGACAGTTCAGGTGAAAATGCATTGTTTCCATAAGACCCCTTCTCAAAGTCAAGGTCCAAAACTGGCAAAAGTACAACTATCATTTTTTTAAGTGGCCTTTAAACATAAGATTTGGCCTTCGTGGGCCCAGGCTAAGCCATGATGGCCAGGGTTCGGGTTAGGCCAGGGTTGGGTTAGGTTTAGGGTTGGGTTAGGGTTAGGAAGAACTGGCATCTGTGACGTGTTGACTGCACACACAGTTTGAAAAGGCTCATTTAGTTCCTGCTGGACCGAGCATTCATAAAACCCACTGAAAGAACTCAAAACAATAAAGCCCGGTCCCTTCTAAATGTGGGTAGACATTCAAAAAGTGAAAGAAATAACGCGATTTATTTTGTGGCTTTCAAATCATATCAACATCATGGTTTAAGTCCATGACAATCTAGTGTTCGTACGGCGTGTAAACGCTCTCCGCCTCGTTACACCGCCAGACAGAGAGAAACGGCTCCGGGCCCGGTGGAGACCGGTGGGGCCCGGTGGGGACCGCAGTCCCCGGTGATGGAGCGAGCTCACAGCGGAGCCCCGTCAGAAAAAACTCACTTTCAGCTAAACAGAACTCGGCCATGAATCAGTCTTCGTTGTCCACCCTTCAAGGAAAACGCACACGAGACTTTCAATTGTTCCCAGGAATGAATTAGAGACCACAACTTCGCATTCCTCTTTGATAATTAACCAGCTTCTATGTTTCTTTTAAAAAATCGTTTGAAGAACGACTTAATTTGTTATTCCAAAGAATAAATCTATTTGCCGCTCCGCTTACCATTGCCTCAAGCTTCTCAACGGTTGTCTCCATGTTGAATTGCTCTCAACATGATACGGGCTGTCTGATTGGACGTTTGTCAGTATGAGCGGAACCCTATTGGTTGTCTGCATGAGTCACCCGGTGCTTTCAAATACAACTAAAACATGGGAATTTACCCACACGAACAGAATGGAAGCACGTTGGCAGCGTGAACACAATCGAATCAATTGAATATAGCGGCATAATGTTTTTCAATTATGTCCCTCGTTATTATTGGAGATTGTTGGAGGACAATAAAGTTAGATTTTTTTCAAAAAGCCCGGTGACTCTTAATGACTGTAACCTACAGAATGATTAACAGAACAGTTCATTTCCCAAATAAACATGGATATTGTGGAGCTTGTCGCAGCGGGGCAGTGTGGACACAAAATGGACCACTAGTCTACTTCGGCTCGTTAGTTTAATAGCCAGGTAGCGCCATAGTTTTTTCTTCCCAAAAGGACCATTCAACTTGGCTTATGAAAAAAAACAATTCTAATTATTCTCATTGAATCTTTAATAATTAAATAAATCTTGACATAAATAATCAAATAAATAAAGGATGCATTCTATAGTCCAGATTGGCAGAGGTGGTGTGGCTGATTAAAGGATTCCCCATACACCACCAGAACCAAGACATTTGTTCTTGTTCTCCAGGTGGCAAGAACAAGAACAAAATTCCTTTCAGCTCTAACGTTTCACTCAGCAGCTGCCCTGCACATAGAAAGTTGGCCCACTGAAGTACAGACAACAGCACAGTAGCAAAGAGGGCCGCTTTTTAATTAACAAAGGAAGGAGAGGGGAACAAGATTTTTTAAAAAGAAGAGGAAGCCGGTGGAGACAAGGAAACAGGAAAACATGGAGGATATAAGAAGAAAACAGGAAAACTTAAACCAAGAACAAAACCCAAAGACTACTAAAATAAAACACAAGAAACTGAAACAGAACAGAAGCTAAACCAAAACTCAGGTCATGGCAGTTAGCGGATAAAAAATGGTTTTACCCAGGAAGGCTGGAAAAAATGTATTACATTTATTATTTCTAATAAAATGAATAAATATATACATTAACAGTCATTTTCATTGCCTGGGAACCCCTGAACTAGTGTAAAACTAACTATAACACAGTATAAATAATTCTACACTTTTCTAATCTTTATATATAGCATACAAATAAATTTGAATTATTTAAATATTTTGAGAACATTCAATACTTCAAGAATCAGACAGTGTGCCAGCATAAATAGTATTTTACACCTTCATAGAAATTGTCAAGTATTTTACCACTTCACAGACAATCTCAAAGAAAACATGGCAGGAAGCTTTCACAAAAAATGAACACATAAAGCACAGGGAAGCAAACATTAATATAAGGCAACCTAAATGCAGTCTGTTCATCTCTCCTTCGCCTCTCAGAGAAGGAAATAATAACTGAGAAGCCATGCATCCCTTGTCTATAAGGCCTTTTCCTCCCAGGGAGGCTGGAGCCGATCCCAGCCGTCCGTTTGGCTTGATGTGCGGCACACCCTGGACCGGTCAGCAGTAGACTGGACAGCATCATCACACAACAGTTTGAGGTAACCTGGAAAACACAGTTTAAACACTCGTAAAAATCTAAAACATGATTGAAAAAGATTTGAATACGGTTGACAAAAGATATCCTTCTCTATAAACATTGTGTAAGTTCAGATCTGGTCTGCTTTGACGTGCCTCATTTTTGACCAACTTGGATTCCTTTATCACTTGGTTTGGTCTTGCCACACTGCAAACGTGCCATCACTGTGCTGCCTGTCAGAGTGCTCACCTGACATACAGGACCATTAGCACAGATACCTATGAGAGCACAAGGAGACTACAGACTCTCTAAGGCTAAAGGTTTTCAGAATTTAAGGACTTGTGGGGAAATGCAAGCATATGAGTTCAAAATAAGATGAAGAAACAGATAGAAAAGATTTTTTTTAAAAAGACCTTTTACACTCAATGTGTCAGTTCATGACTCTGCTGTGGAAACTGGTAAAAGCATGACCTCACATTACATCCCATGCATTCATATACAATTTTCCTATGCTACGTTTTTTTGTATTTCTCGGCTACCATGTGTGACTGTGTTTATGTATCTTATTTCTTTAGTCATTACGAGTGGTATTACCTGAGCACCTTTAGGGGGCGGAAGGGAGATCATTCAGCTTGTTGCTCTCCTCTAATGTTTCGTGCTCTTTGTCTCCAAATTTCATTTTTCCTTTTCTGTGGGATATAAATCATTTACATTTTTTTTCTATCCTGGTAGATACTCTCACCCAAGACTGCTTGTAAATAAAAACAATATAGCTCCAGTACAGACGACAATAATGAAGACAGCAAGCACCATAACACCAGTCCAGGTTCTTCCTGGACATATGGAATTGTTTAAAGTGTTTCTCAGGCCAATTCAAGAAAAATTATGAATGGAAATTTTGGTCAATTAGGTGCTGATTGTGTTCGGCAATTTTTCCCTGGATTCCAAATCTTGGCTCTATTTATGTCTCAAGCATTAGTGAGATAATAGTTACTGTAAAGCAGAACGCTTAGAATGCTCTTAGATGTTTGCAGTTGTACCTGTATTTCCTTGTGAAGAACCAATAGAGGAATCCTGCCAGAACAACAACAGACACCACCCCAACTCCTATGAGAGCCGCTGTGGTCGCTGTAGGCTCTGCAACAGACAGTGGGATTCTGCTTCAAAAGTAGAATAAGCATTCAAACACACCAAGAAAGGCCAAACAACATAATCTAAAGTCTTTCAACTTCACTGATCAAATAAATCATTCTAAAAATGAGCCCATTTTTTCAAAATTCTCATTTCTGATGGCTGTTTTGTAATGGAAGTCTTTGGCATTTCACTGCAGTCTGAGGGAATCGGGAAGAAAGCTGTCAACTACAGTGTAAACAGAAGCTAAATCTATACTTCATGGAGACTTTGTCAGGGTCCTGGGGACACTTTTCAGCCGGCCGGATGCATCCCAGGAGTAGAGCAACAGCCGTGTGCACCTACAACCAGGACCCGGGAGAGAAATCAGTCCCTACAGAGAGTATGGCCGGTCCCCAGCCATCAGCTGAACGTCAGAACCACCAAAAGTGACCCTGTTACATCATCAGATAACCTGCGGGATAAGAGTCTGGCCAGAGGAGGAAACAAGAGGGGAAAGCTCCTCATGATGAAGAGGAGGGATTCAGCACCCCGAGAACGGGAGCATCAGAGCCTCTGTCAGGGAGGAAACCACAAAGATCCACAATTCTATCAAGAAGTGTGCTATAGTCTCAGGCAGCTGGATCTCAGGGAAGATAGTGATAAAGGAGGAGGAACCCCCTCTGAAGGATGAGTCTCGGAATAATAAGCACCACTGACAGACTGCAGAAGTACTAGCGATGCTGCTAAAGGCTGGTCCCAAACACAGCACTGAGGCCCCACGTGTGAATAAGACCCCAGAGCGAGGCGGGGACGGGTCTACCTAGCCAGCGAGGCTAGCAGGAGCAGCCTCTGACCAACACTGGCAAGCAGGAGATGGACGGCTACCCATCTATGATAGATGAGAATATCAGAAATATGGATGGAGCAGTAGTAAGATGGCTGATGGTTTTAATGTGCAGGAGGAAGATGAGGAAGACGGTCAATGACTTTTCCTGGTAGGGTGTTTTTTAACCTTTTTTTATCCAGTCATGTTACTGCACTGTTTGGGAAAAAAACTTAGCAGTATGTATTTTCTTTTTAATGTTTAAAAACCTTCCCATTTACCATCTTGCAGAGTATAAATCCCTTTCTCTACAAGGACACCTGTCGTTTTCTTTCTAAAATGAGAAGGTGTGGCTTACAGTCAGGTGTGCTCTATAGTCCAGAGTTTACAATACACGTATACACACACACATAAATGTACACATTTTATGAAAGCCGTGGGATTCGTGGCATACGAGTCCCCACCAGTGTCACAAAATGAGTTGTTGTGAGGCAGTAAAATTAAATCAAACTGCACTAAAACTTACCAGAAGAAATATTGATTGTCCTGATATCTTTTCCCAATTTATTGCTGACACTGCAGGTGACATTCAGATTTGACCTGGGTGCAACTGTAACTTTATTTATGACCTTCCCATTACTGTACGAGATTTCCTCCTGGAGGGATTGAAAAACAGAAACCCGTAAGCAACGTATACTTTGATGCACATGACTGAATAGATGAGTCAAACTGTGTGTGAGTGAACAGCACCTGGACCTGAGACAGGAAACAGCCATAACCTCTGATAATAAATCCATCTCCATCTTTGACTACTAATAAAGTGGTGATAGCTGCTGCTGCTTGGCTATAGAGAAGGATTTAACAGACACTCACAGCTATGGGTTCAGTGTTCCACTGGAACTCTGGGGCTGGGACTCCCTCAGCCTCACAGGTCAGGACCTTGTTTCCACCCTCGTCAGCATCGTGTTTGGTCAGGTTAGTGATAACTGGCTTCCCTGAAAGCAAAACCATTTCATTTCTATCATAAAGATCTATTCAACATTTCTGTGTGTGCAAAAAGACGTTTAATCAAGCTGTTTTTCCCCACTTGTAAATCCTAATTAAATATCCACAGTCACTGGCTCAGGGGAACTTTCAGCCCATAATATTTGCAGGAAAATATGCCTTGTGCAGAGCAGGTATTTGATTGTTGACTGTCTCTTATTTCTGAAGGCCAGGCCATAATAAACACATCCTTATTAAAGTTCAAATAAAACTTGAAAGAAGCTCCCACCCAAATCCCCCAAATGTTTTTTAAGGTGTACTGTGTCTGTGTTTGAATCCAATGGTTTCTGTTTGGTGATTTGATTCCGATTCAAAGATCTTAATCCTCACTGATACTGATTCAGTTAGGGTAACAATGACAATACGAGCTGACAACAGAAATGGAGGTTGTTCAATAGAGCTTTAAAATTTGCATGCTGTTTTTTTCAAAATATATCTCAATTATTGTTCATCTATCCATACATCCATCAATCCATCCAGAAAGAAATAAAGATATATTAATAACAAAATAATTGACAATAATTAAGGCTCTGACAAACATCCCCATTTTGTTTCATTATTTGGAAAAAGAAAGACACATTTAATCCCAACTCTCCTTTCCCAACTGTCACCATAACAGTCC